TCAGGTAAAAAGACATTTCCATCTTTATCGGAAGCAACGTTATGACACAACTAAACTTTGATTATTAATTTCTTTCTATTCTATTATTTTAATTGTGTTTAAAAAAAAGATTATGTAGAACAGAAAATGCATCATTTGCCACGTAGCTGAAAATCAAATGTTTGTCATAAGATATTTTCAGGTAATACTTTTTCCTATGCCATTTTTCCAAGGCTACAGGTAAAATTATCTTTCATTTTACAAAGTTTCTTCTATATACAACATTCTGAATTCGGAAAATTATGTTTTCAAACTCATTTGTGGATACTGCTATAAAACCTCAATGCAGCTAAATCTGTATTTTTTGTTACACAAAGAAAATTATAACTGCTGATGTTCTTATATCATATTTCACCAGAAAATCTCTACATTTTTTCTAAGACTAAAGTAATGAGCTATTTAGTGACACACAGCGCGTTTAAGTCATTTTGGTCTCTTGCCCCAAAAGTCTTCAATACCACTGCCACCCCACAAGCAAATTTATACCACAAATGAAAATGTATACTTCCAAAGATAAGCTTTCATCTTTCTCTTGTGGTAAACCTTATGCAGTATACCAAGAATTTTTAATAAACACACATCTCTCCATTTTCTATAGCTTCTGTATATTATTCAAAATAATCTCTATTAAATACAGATCTGGTTAGTGTTTTCTTTTTCTAGGAGAAAAAGAAAGAAAGGAATATATTTCCACTGACAAAACTTTAAGAAACCTGAAACAAAAGGAAAAATAAAATCTTCTCCATTGGCTTGAGCTTTGCTAGCTATGATTGGCAAATGCAAGGCTGATGACATTAGATTTTCATTTAAAATAACGCATCAGAGTATTACTGCTCAGAGCAGAAGCAAACCACACTGTGAAGACAACAACATAACTTAGTTCCCATACTAGCACTGCACTTAGTCTCTGGTAGATTTTACGGAACAGCACACCACCAATAAAAACCAGATGGTCCATGGACTGGTAAGGCTAAGCTGACACAGCACGGCAGGGTTCTTCTCAGTACCACTCTGCTAAATGACAGGAACGAAAATCATGGCACTGCCGAACTCGGTGGGAGTGCTGTCACTGAACTGAACGTGGCCAGAATTTCATCCGTGAAGCTCATGAGTCATTACAGATGTGCTGTCATCCATATGCTAACTCACATAACAGCAATTCCATAAACAAGCTACTGAAATCAAATTTCATATCAACTCAATTATTAGTAGTGATGATACACTAATTTATTACATGAAATCACCACTTCCGGACCAGTGCTGTTACTCTTCATGGTAAAGTTTACTTCAGTTTTCCTCATTTGTTACTGTAGGATTTTATTGCTCTTGTTCACTGCAAATCTTAACAACATTAATATTTAGGTGCCCAAAGCAAACAGATACCTGTGGACAGGTTCACAGGAGGCATAGTGTTTTCTGAAGGCATACACAATCCCTGGTTTGTTATGGATTGGCTCCCAAACAAAAGCAACGCGCTAACCAATGGGCAGAAGAAAAAGATACGTTTCTGATACCTGGATCCCAAACCTTCGGCACAGTGCTTCTGACATCGAAGACAGCAAACCAGTCCTTCCTGGGGCCTCCACGCAGAATGCTGCTGCTTATGAGCCATGGCTGCTTACACTGCTGGAAGTGCAAACCCTTTCCAACTGCAAGTCTCACGTCTATAATCCAATTTCTTCAGGGTCAGAATGCTACATATAAAGGACATAATCCCTAGCTTCAGCATTCAGTCATGTGATCACGTTCCTTTCCCCTTTTCATATTTTCAAAACCCTGTTCTTCCTACACAAGCATTGCTAGTTGTTAGTGCTTTGCTTTAGAATTGGGACAAGGAAGGAAGGAAGGAAGAAGGCCATCCACTTTTTCATGCTTTTAAAATCTATTTTCTGCAAAAATCTATCCAGGCTTTTGAAAACATTATAGGAACAAGGCATTTTGTGCACTAATCATGCACATTGATGAGATCAGCAGATAAAAAGGTTTTGGAAATCAAAATTCCTCAGATCATAATCTTCCTTAAAAATACATACTTAATCAGTTGCAGTAAAAACCTGAAGACTTCTGCTCCACTTATATAATAAGACAAAAATTGGGATAATGCAGCAAATGGAATGGGGGTTACTTTTGCCTATTAATTCCCCCAAGACAGACAGCAAGTTACTAGAAATGAAAGCGGGTCAATGGGACTGAATTTCTTTAACTCAGTTCTATGTCAAGAAAGGACAGCAGATTGACCACCAAATATTTGTCACAATTTTTTCCCCTCTAACTATCAAATACATTGCCCTAACAGAAGTACAAAAATAAAGCATCAAATTCCTCAAACACCAATCAAAATCAGCTCTGTGTGGCTATGTTCCTAAGACTTAACTGGCATTTCAAATTGGCAATTGCATACAAAATACTTTAGCATAAAAAATTGTTCCCGCTGTACTAATCCACTGGTGACCTACATAAGGTGTGAACATAGTCAGTGTTTTAAGACCGAGATCAACTGTCACCTAAAAATCTAGCTCAACAAGTAAAGTTGTTCGTTCTTACTTTTGCTCTTAACTCCATTCCACAGCAACATTTACATTTCTGTTACCTCTAGAGAGAACGCGCAGCAAAGAGCTGTAGATTTACATCAGATGCTTGGCTGTTCGGGAGGTCTTTGCCTACCTGCTTTGCTGGAAGACAAAAAGCATATGGAACAAACTTGGCTGTCCTCATAAACTACTCACTGAGGGATCCCGCACTAGAAGCCACAGCATCAGAGAGCAAGATGCTTATGTCCAGAAGCTTCTTCACTCATAACTAGGGGCTATGCCTACTACATTTACACCCGAAACACGTTTGATTCCTTTTAAATTGCCAAAAATTGCACCTCTAGTCTAAGTGACATCTGTTCATTACTGCAAAATAGCTGTAACAACCAAAAGACTTGCGCACACTGGGACAGACACTAGTACATTAGCATCCTGTGCATTCCTGTTATGAACCCACAGGCACTATGATATTTACTCTCTCCTTCACGACAGATTGCAAATTTCCTCCATCTCACCTTTAACAGGTCTTTTGAAGTTATACATACAAACGGAAAATAAAAAACTGAGATCCAAGACCATATTATTTTGAACATCATAGCAATACTTAAATGTTTTATTTGCTTTATTTTATTATTTGTTCCATTTTAGCCAACATAAGATTTCTCAGTTAGATACTTGCTACACTTGGTGCGCTTGCAGCTGATTGCTGCTAAGAAATCTGAACTCAGATTTCAAGACTGAGGCACTCCTGGTGAACATCTGCAACAAGCTAAATTAAACCAGTCTATTAGGATTCCTTCAAAAATAAAAGCTAACAAATCATCTGCCTGGCAACTGCAACAACAGTACATACCTTATTAAAATGCATCTTAACTGCAATTATGAGATAGCTGAGTGCAATTCTAAAATTGTAAGTGTTGCATTCAGTGTTTCCATGAGCTTAAAAGTAAACTCAAAATTTAAATATTAATTCAAAATATTAATACTCTGCAAACCACAGGAGAGAATGTATGGAAATCAGCCATGATACAAAAGGTCAACACAAGCCACGCTCCCACGTGTTCCCATTCTGTATCACCAGGCTTCCACTCACTGTGAAGGAAAGGAGGCAGTATTGTTTGCACTTATTTTTCACAAACTGACCACACCTGTCTCCTGACTACTGCCATGTATCCCTGCTTACAGCATGGATCTTCTCACATAACAACTGTTCACCTTTGCTGCTAGGGTTGTCAGAGATTTCTGATAGAATGAGCATCGAGAATAGCAGAAGTTTTTAGTCTGCCTCCTTTTAGGATGTGCAGTCACTTAAATACTCTTACAGAGGATATTTTTATGTTCTTTGGAGCCACTCCTGTTCAGTAGTCCCGTTTAAAATAGTTCCATTTAAAATAGGCAGGAGCTGCAAAGTAGAGAGTACTTCTCAGAGGGAAAATATAAGACTTCCATTGCACTTGAAATGGGATCAGACCTCAGGGCAAGACATATTTTAGCAAAGCGAACACATTTCTGAGTCTGCTTTTAACTTCTCATCCCAGAATTAATTTAGTTTGTCATCAGAGAGGACAGCAAGGCATTTGACTCCTGTCGTATTAGAGTGCTTATAGCAGCTCCTAAACTAAAAACCCGTATACAGTAATACATAGGATAAGTAAAGATGTCTGTTCCAATCGTAACTAAAAAAACGTTTCAGGTATATTTGCATTTTAAGGCAGCGTAACATTTCAAGCACAGATATTAAAAAACCAGTGAAGCTTGTGAAGTATTACAATTATTCACAATTATTTATCACAATTATGTATACAGCACATGCCTAGAACAAATTTCCATCCCCTCAGAGTTGCTTCAATGAAAATGTTTTAATTATCTTGAAAAATATAATTTCAAAATGACGAAAGGAAAAGAGGAATTACTCAGGGTAACCTGCACACTAGTACATACGCATTTATATTTGAACAATGTTCCTACAGGAAGCAAAATGGGATCACCAGGCAACTACTCATATTTCAAGGATAGAGAGATGGCTTTCAGATCAGCAGCTTGAGACCCATTTTCATTTCATTTCTTTTGAGGGTAATCAATATCCAACACTATGAGGTCCAAAATACAATTAGATAATTGCAGGGCTTATGAGGATAGCAAGATGCCGATGAAATGAAGCCATGGAGTCAAGAGAGTATAACAGGAACAACAGCTTACAGGCCATGCATATGCAGTACAATTCACCAGTTCTATTCATACAATATATAGTCTATTACCAGTGGTTTGTTTTTTTTTTTTTTTGTTCCCCAACCAGGGGAAAGGAGGGTGAGAGAGATTCCTTCCCCGTAGGAAAGCTTCGCTAAATCATGTATAGTTAGACCTGAAGTAGCAGACAGTTCCTGCCTTATCTACACAGTATAAGTTCAGAAGTTCCAATACTATACTTACAGCGAATTCCATAAATCATGAGAGGATCAAGCTGCTTCTTCCCATGCTTCCCCTGTCCTGAAAGGTTGGAGATGGCTTGAATTTCCCGATGGAAAAGATAATCCAGCAATGTCAGCGCCATCTTCTCGGCTGTGCGGCAGTTCGTGCTGATGTGCAGCATATCAGCAGGAGTGATGGGGCAACGGACTCGCATTTCAGGATTATTTTCATCTCCGAGCCATGTCCCATTGGGGTAATCCTCTAAAAACAGAGATTGTGGAAATTCTAATCATGGCACAGAATGAAACAGTCAGGTTTAAGTTATATTTAAAATTTCTTAAGATATCATGAGCTCTTCCAATTTTCTTCATAGTCTCCATAAGCATCTTTCAAATTTAGAATGACAGGCTCAGAAAAGTTCTTAAATACATATCAATAGTGGCCAAACATTATTACCATTAACAGCTATGTTCTGGCCTACGTGTGTTGGTAGAATTAGTTCAGATGCCCGACTCTAAATGAGATATCTTTTTAAAGTGTCACTACTAGAGGTCAAGGACTGAAAGAGAACATTTATTAAGAACGTTCTCATTCTTTGACAAGACACACATATACACACCTATATATATATAAATAAATGTGTGTGCATACCTCCAGAAGATCTTTGATTTTGCTCCAGCCTCTCACTTAGGAAAAAAAAATGACTCATTTTAAAATGAGAATTGCTAAGCCCTCAGTGGAAACTCATCTTTGTTGGCGCTACCAAAAGTCTGTGGATTCAAGGCTAACCAGAACCTTGAACAGAGCTCAGAAGGGAGACCAACCACAAACGGAGTGGAGGATGCCATACAGGACTTTGGATGAAACTCATTCCACATAAAAATGAGATTTCCAATACAAATCTTGACAAGGCTAACAGGAACTGGAAAGAACAATGTCCATTCTACTATTTCAATGTTGACGGACACAAACCATTTGCATTTGATTTCTATGTTTGCTCAGCTTTCTAAAGCGAAAACACAACACCTCCTGACTTAGGAGTCACTCAAACCTACCATGCTAGAGTTGTCTAGTATTTTACTGCTTGTTTCACATACCTTCAGAATGGTTTTTAAGAAAAAAAAAAAAAAAGAAATCTTTCCATTATATGATATATCTTTGAAGAAATGCCTATATAATGGAGCTTTACGGTATATGCCAAGTCACAGATTCCTGTTTCTCCTAACCACTCTGTTCATCAAATAGAATGACAGAGTTCTCATGGACGAGCACTTTTCATTTTGAATAGGACAGGACCTCTGTGTAAGCAGCACCTTTATTTTCAAGTACTGGCATTGGTTAAGCAGCCTGCATTTTACTAGATTATAAGTCAAAGGCATGCAATAAAATGTAACATATAAAAGCAACTCAAACAGTAAAGAACACCCGTCTGATATGACCTTTGGGTTGAGTGATACTGTGTACAACAGATGCAAGTTTATTGCAATGCATAATAACAGTATGAAAAACTGTTAGATTATGCAATATTGATATAGCATTACAAGTATCAGATAATCAACTATAACAGTTTGTAGGAAAAGAATAAATTAGCATTGACATATATATATATATATATATATACACACACACACACACACATAAAACAGCTAGTCCCTTACACTTCTTTTTCCACTGAAATCTGACCTTAATGCCCTGTTCTGAATATATTTTTAATACACATGAATTTTTTTTATGCTTTTACCTGTACCTTACTTTTTACCCAAAACTGTGTAATAAAGCATGCTAGCTGCTTTCTGCTCACACTACCATGTTCCATCTACAAAAAAGGTGGTTCGGATTAATTACGAACTGTTTTGAATGCTACTGTTTCTGGCCTCACCACAAGTCTGGTTACCGTTATTGGGGAAAAAAAACATTCGGTTACTAAAGACAAATTGGCTGTTCTATAAAAATTAAGACAGAGCTGGCAAAGTAAAAGATGTCATTGGACAGACGTGCAAGTTTTTCAGAAACAATTTAATAAGCTTGAATAAATGTTTCTATATCCTATCAAAATTTTCCTGCCATACCAGTTCAAACAATTACTAATAGACATAGAAGCTACTTGCATTTACGGTTCATCTGCTCTCTTGTCTAACAAATTCTATCAACGTCCATGAACTGAACCAAAGATTTTTTCCATTTGCAAAATAATCAAGTCTTTTACTGGCACCAAGTCCAGAACATACTGTTTTTACCACATGCAACTGTACTTTTATTGCTAACAGCTTAGAGAAAGACACTATCTTGTTATTCTGACCTATGAACACAAGCCCTGCATGAAATTATCTCTTGCTTTTTCACCCTGCTTTAAAAACTTCAATAGAAAACTCTTCCTGCTTCTATATCCTGCAGCTGAAATACAAATAGCTAAACATGAAATTCATTACAGAAAAAATGGCCGTGTGGAACTCCCGATGGCTTTTCTACATTTCTACTCAAACGTTTACAACAGTTCTTCAATTCAGTTCAAACTAAACCAGCTTGAATGTGCCATGTTATTTCATCTCCCTACATTACTGTGTAGTCTTTGAAATGAAATCCTTCCTGTCAAACTGATAGACACCTGGAAAAGGTACCAAAATGCTGATGGTGATGAGAAACTGGTGGTTTAGAAGAGCCCAACATAAAAATTATTTTAATTTCTTCACTGAAATAACCAGCTTTCCTCTATCTAATCCATCCTCCCCTGATTCCCTCCCTGTAAGTAATAGGTAGGTACTGTGAAAATAGAACCACCAAAATATTCTCTGCTACTTAAGAAATTATCTACAGACTCTTACATCTGAATAGAATATACATATGGGACCGGGAAAAGACGTAGAACACTCAAAAACCTGAAAGAGAATTGCCTCAAAGTGTCAGGCTCCCTTTAATCCAACAGCTGAAGAAAACTTTGTAGTTTGCTCAACCATTTTAGAGCACATGGTGTTGAAATCAGTCCAGCACTTACCCCGAAATTAAACTGAAATCAATGTTAAAAAATAAAAAAAACACATAGCTAATTTTTTTGTGCACATAACAATAATAATAGTGAATAGCATTTGTAAATTTGAGAGGCAGTCTAAATCCTAAATTAATATGAATGACTAATATTTCTTCCCCAGTCTTGGCACTGCTTAGAAAGATGACTAAAAGAATGTTCAAACTGAACTGTTCACTTAAGATTTTACAGGTTTGAGGGGGAAGGTTATCTAGGTGTTCTGGGTTTTGTTTTGTTCTTCTCTTCATTTCGATTGTTTCTTTCCTGCTTACCTTGCACCATGTTCTTCTTTTTAAAAAATGAAGACAGACTTTTTTTTAAACAGAAATTCCCATGCACGATAACATAAAATGACATTTCAGGTGTATTAAGAATGTGAAACATTACTACCTTATTATATTGCTTTTTTTCATTTCACACTATCATATCTTCCCTAAATATGTATTCATATATGGTACCTAAAACACCCACCAATTACTATATGTACACACACAGCCTTCAGCCCACCTCCCCCCTACAAATACATTTTAGGCCACATAAACATATACAAACAATTTTGCCCAAGCCCCAAAATCTGAGATTCACGGACTTTGCTTTATGATTGTTTTGCATTACATGGAACTTGCACGCCTAATGTTAAGTGCATGCATATGACTGCTGTGTCACAGGTAGGGACTAACATCTACACATCAACTTCAGGACACAAAGGCTGCACTGCTGTTTATTGTATACAAAAATATTATTATTCATATCAACCTGCCAGCACATCTGTCACTTTGCATACAGTAAATGCAATGTGACTGGCACAAAAAAACCACAAAAACAACAACAAAAAACACCACAGTGAAAAGAGGAAGTACAGAGCCAGTTCCGAGGGAGGCAGGACTGCTCTAAACAAATGGAGTGGGATGGGAGAAAAGAGACTGAATCAGGAAGGAGAAACAGGTAGAGTTCGATGAAAATCTAGAGTTCGTTGAAGCTTCTAGCACTCAAGCATCCTTTTACACTATCTCTAATAATTTTTTATGCATTACATGTAACACCCAGGTGAGTCAGGTTATTTAGTACATGCTTTGTAATAGCCAGATACCAAGTCAGCTCTCCACTAGGCACCGTACAACCAACCCTACACAGCAGTTTAGCTTCTTCTAGTCCTTAAAGGCTGCCAAAAGACAAACAACGTGTGCAGTGCTGGGGAAGAAGCATACAGGCAAACAAACACTTAAAAAATAAAAACAAGCATAAACAAAGACACTCATCTGCACCTCAGTCTAAACATACCTTTTTGGTCTAGTAGCCCTGACTTTTCTTTCATTAATGTGTCTGACTACCCTTTTGTTCAATTTTAACTCTGGCATCCAAAACACACTCCGGAAAGGAGTTAAACTGTGACTGCGTGCTATGTGGAAAGGTACTCCCTTGCATTTCTTTATGCCAAACATTTTTATCTGATTTGCTCTCTGCACTCAGGAGCTCATTTCAATGACAATCTAAATTTGTAGCTCCTCTTCACTGTTTTTTCCAAGATCAGAAAATTTGCCTTTATCTCCATTCCAGTGAATCCGCAACTAGTTTGCTTTTCACTGCTGTTTTCAAATCTTTTTCCACTGTATTAAGTTCATTTCTTTTATCTCCCAGTGCAGCTGACCACTCCACTGTGACCAGAGAACATAACAGTCTCAGCAAGCACGTGGGAGAAAAGGAACCTGGGGCTGCTCAGCAAACACACATCACTATGGAAACTGCACGCAGGAGCTTTAAGCTTAATATCAGGAAAACCTATGTCAAGAGAACAAAAACCAGACAAAAGTCACTGTAGTTTTCAGCTTCACTCGAATACACTCTTGATGTATGTGTGTGTCTTCCTGCCCAGGGAGGAAGCAGACCCCTAACTGTTACTCACTGCGCTCCACTGGGACACCCTCCCTTAGGTGGTTTGACATATGAGCATTAGCAGTAAGACTACAAGCAAAGCTGGGTTCCAGTCTCTCGCTAGGCGCTGTCAATCATCCCTTAAAACAAAGAAAAATAAAATGAAACACCTGCCTGCACAAATACTTGAATTAACATGTGCCATTGTTCAGAGCAGTTGGGTTTATTTTACTAATAAAGTTGGGTGCAAATCTGGCATTTCCAGCACGTGAAAATGACTGGTAGCAGCAGCACAAAGACAGAAAGTTGAATTAACCTTATGAAAATAAACCAATTCCTAACCTATATAAATAAACCCCTGTTTCTA